TTCCAATAGGCGTATCCATTTAGATGGATTCTAAGAAACAAATCCACCCATTTAAAATATCTAGAAAGGAAACAGTTTTGCAGAATTTTTTTTAAATATGTAATTCTACCAAAACACACATCGGAATGCTGTAAAGTATAAAAACGGCGAACTAAAATCCACATCAACAAAAAACATTTAATCCAGACGTTTTTTACGAATGTGCAAAAATGGAAAACCTGCCGCAAAACGCGACGCTGTCACTGTGCTTCACTGTGAAGACTGGTACAAACACACCAAAAGGCCCTCGAGGATTGTTTTAGAGATATCTTGTTGACATTTGTGCCTGATAAAGCACAGGTTAGACGCCCAAACGTATGCATGATGCCATGCGCCTAAATTACACTATTTTACTAAATCTGTTTGCGATCATTTGGCTCGTAAAAGTTAAAAACTGTGAAAAACTGAAGGCCTTGAAGAGATCTAAAATGTATACTTAGGTCAACAAAGAAAAAAAACTATTATATGGTTGGATATAGGCTGAGAAATAAGGTATTTCATCCTTTTCTTTTTTTGGATTGATCAGGTTAGTCGAAGCAGTGGACTCGAGTTTGGCACACTGGCTTGATGTTACTGGAAAGAAAAATTCTCTGGAAAAAGTCAAAAATATATATATTTAGGCTAAAGCTAAATTATTGTATCCATTGCTGTCACAGAATCACAGAAGACCTTTAGCCAAGCAGGGTTTTGTTTCCAGTCCGGCCGTCCATCCTCGCCACCGAAATCTATTGTTATGATAATACTATTGTGAATTTCACGCTGGATGTGCAATCTGTCGATCGTCCATATTTTAAAAGGTGAACACCGCATTTAAATTTAAGATCCATAGCATCTATTTTCTTCCCTTTTATTTCTTTTCTGAGCTTTGTTTGTCAGAGCTGATCTCGTCCTTATTTTACAATTGTACTTTTTTTTTCCCCCACAAACGTTAGTCTTCCTGCAAAAAAGTCCATATATAAAACAGTCTGTAGATTCTCATATTTGATTGAATTTCCACAGAAGCTTAAATGAATATAGGTTTCTGTCAGCTCACTGTTGCGTGAAGCAACCGCACTATTAGGTCATATCGGAATAGGAAAGTCATGAATATAAATTTTTTATAATTATTTTTTCTACCTGTGTTAGATTTAAGTGCACTGACATTTTATTTGTGATTCTCTTGGTTGTCCTCGATTGGTCACTTAAGACATTGCTAAAAAAATGGCCTTCGTTTGGTACATCTAGTAATTGTTTATGAAAATCTCGAAAATCTGAAAAAAGACGTGATAGTGTGTGTGTGTGTGTGTGTGTATATATATATATATATATATATATATATATATACACACACAATAGAAATAATTAAAAAAAAAACCAGTGACAGATCTGTTGTGTGTGGTGTGCATCGTGGCCTCACAGCGTGAAGGTCCTGGGTTTGAATCCACCGACCTGCTGGGGCCTTTTTATGTGTGGTTTGCATGTTCCCCTCGTGTCTCCATGGTTAATAACATGCGTGTTAGGTTAACTGGTGATTCCAAATTGATCGCAGGTGTGAATTGTTGTGTCTTTATCTGTTGGCCCTGAATAGACTGGCGACCTGTCCAACGTGAAGTCCGCCTCTCACCCTATCACAGCTGGAATGAGCTCCAGCAAAATCGTGGATGGATCAGTTGTTTTAGTGCCAGCATGGATTTTCTGCAATTTGTTCGTGACAGTATACTATTTTATCATTTCATAACGTTAGGCCAGACATTGTGTGTGTGTGTGTGTGTGTGTGTGAGAGAGAGAGAGAGAGAGAGAGAGAGAGAGAGAGAGATAAAATGTTAATTGAAGCTTTTGCAATGTGGCTATATGCTGTTTGGAAATGTTTCTGTTTGCTCATACACATTCATGTTTTTACTGATTTTAGTTTGTCAGATGTTTGTTTCTTATAAATGTAACAGAGTAACCTGTAAGAACAAAACATACAAGGGAAATATGTTTCCCTGACATTTTCAGATACATAGCCCATTTGAATTTAGTCAAATTTCCCAAACCTTAGACTTGTGTAATGACTCCAAGGCCTTCAAATGATCTTTGTTATTACTGGTATTGCTTATCAATATAGATTTTCATTTGCATTGAATTTGCAAGTGTTTTTCATTAAAACAGAAAGGCGGGCGAATACATTTGATGTCTGTCTCGGTGTGAGGAGAACATGTCTGTATGCTTTTGGGCACAATCCACCTCAACAGCGATCCTCATCTAAAAGGTTTTTTTTAAATAGAAAAAAATAGAATATTTTTCCTCATCGGTTTGAACGTACGTCGATCCAGCACAGACGAAAGCAGCGCCGCTCTCTGTGACTGCCACTGAGTTCATTTCCATAGATATAAGTGTAGAGTTGTAATAATGTATTAAAGCTGGTGTGATTGTACATTCAAAATTCACACTCATCCCATCTTTTGCCTAAACACTCAAGTATGCACAGGCTGTAATGTTAAATGTGCCAAGCTTCCCATGCCCTCAGGTGTATGCCAGGGGTTTGTTGTTTTCACTGTAATATATAGTTAGCCCTTCCACCAATTTACCCTGTCAGTACTAATGGGGCAATTAACCATTGTGATACCCCCCAGGCAGAAGGAACAGCAAAAGCTCCACAACTCCAAACTTGTCTTTATGACATTTATATGACAAAATATGGGGGGAAGCTGGGGACCCATCTGACACCTTGGAGGGTCCTTAATGTCACTCCCTCACTTACCTCCGCCCCTTTCTGCCCCAGGGTATGGCACTGAGAAGGAAGTGTAATGCATCATGTATGGACAGGCTCGGGCCTCTTCCAAGAGAGAGGAAACTTTGTACTACATCCAAAGGCTCAGTGGGACAACACTGATTTAGTCCTTCACGCACTCTGTCCCGTACTGTGGGATTATAAATGTAAACTGCCTCATATGCAGACACACTTCCAGTCAACACACTCTGGCTTGACCTCACCTTTCACTCCTGCCTTTTTGGGTGTCTCTTTGTCTGCGCTCACATTCCCCCTGTCCTTCTTACATCCCCAAGGAGGCAATAACCTCCCTAGCAAGAGCTTCCCCTTGAGCCGTTGTCATAGTAACTAGTAGGCTGGTCGACATGACAACCCCTACCATGGTCCAGAGATAGATGATAGGCCAGAAACGGGGAGGGAGAAGGCACATGGGAGATTTGCACCCCCACCCCGCTTTAATTTGCTTTGCCTGATTTTGATTCAAAATCTTGTTGTTTTTTTCTCTCTAAGGGTGAGGTTCAGCCAGCTTCAGTCTCCTTTCCAGTTGCACAGGTATTTATAGACGGAAAACACTCTTGGTGCGTGAACAACTTCACTAAAAAGAGACTTGATCAGATTCATGAAACTTGGATGGATATTGTTGAGAAAAATTGTATTTCTCAGCAACTTACAAAAAACAAAAATTTAGGTTTCTGCTACAAAATGTTACAGTAATAAAATAGGCCTCACAATGAATTGTTAGTTTTGTATAACAGACCTGAACAAACTTAGTCATTTTCTTCCAGAGTAAATCAGTATAGATGATAAATGCAAACAAAAATTAAAAATAAGGATTTTGCAGGGGTGAAGTTTCTGTGCGATTAAATATAGTAGGCTATCTAATCCCCAGACTTCCTAAGATTCCCTAAATCTACTATTAATGCCCCAACACCAGCCGATGTGCCGACTTAAAACAAGTTAACAATTACTACACTTCTCTTAGTCGATGTTAACCTGGCTTTCAGTGGAAGAGGATTTGTGAAAAACAAAATTCAAAAATGTATTTACCCAAATAATGACCTAATATTGCTAATGTGTAAGGAGCTATTTGTCACTTATAGTTAATTGAGTAGATTTGCACAAATTTATTTCACATTTTTCTATTTTCTGCAGCTGTTTTGATAGTATATAGGCACAAGGAGTTAAAATGGAGGACTCTGTGAGAAAAAAGAAGTCCTCTTTAGACACCCTAAGTGGAATGATGAAACCCAACCAGCATCGATAATGCTGACCCTCAGCTGACCCTGATCTCTGACCCCAGAGCAGAGGGTAGCCAGGAAAAAGAGATTTTCCCATAGAGATCAATGAGTATCATTTTTCCCCCTTTTTGGCTATTAAATATTGTTATATATTTCAGGCACGTCAAATGTATTGTAGTTATCAAATACATATAATATTCATTATGATTATGTTACAACAAAATTAAATCCAGGTGAGCATTCTAAGGACAAAAATATACAAAAGAAGTCAGAGTCAACTGAATGGCAGATGTGTTAAAAACAACAACAACATTTCAGCTTTTAGGCTTCGTGGTTCCACTGGTGAGCATTTGTCCTTTTCCAACTGAGCACAGTCCGCAAATTAATATGGCTATTAGGTGCAGTTTCTGAGCATTTTTATATTTCTTACTTTAATCATATAAATGATTTTGGACAGCACACTTTCAGCTCGATGTTTGCTTCTGAAGCGTTTGTATTAGTATGCCTCCATTCACTTCTGCACAGTAACCTAAAAACACTGAGATGCTCATGTTTTTCCTGAGGGGTTGCAGCATTTGTTGATGTCACAAACCTCCAGTGTTTCATTTAGTTCTTAATATCACTCCACTTTTATTCTTAATTTAACTGTGTTTGTTTGTGTGGCTGTTTCTTTTATGTTTTTGAATATGTGTGAGATCTGAGTTTCTTTTCATTTTTTTATGCCCCTGTCTTTGACAGATGGATTTCCCCTTGGGGATCAATAAAATGTATCATCTTATTCCATCTCATCTCACCTGATCTCATCTCATCACCATGTCGACCATGGCCTCAAAACAGGAGGGCATTAATAACACTAATGGCAGATGGAGGTCATGAGTATGCCTACAGGTAGCCAATATTTAGATTCAGAGTTCTCAGCTGTTGGCAGAAGACACAGACAAACAGACAGATTTAAGTCCTGATCATTAAATTTCCAGTTCTCATTAAATAGCTCCGCTCTGAAATTTACCTGCAAAACTGAGCAACACCGCCCCTCGATGGACGGACTTGTAACTGAGCGCTACCCGGCAAAACACGCTGGAAAGGCTCTTCTCGGCCACCGTACATTCGCGGAAATTGTCAAAACATTACTAAGCCAGTGAGTAGCGGTTTAGCTCGATATATTTTCTTAATTAAACATAAATTATAACCTACAATATTTTTTTTCATTACAGGAATTTCAGCATGGAAGACGAATGGGAAGAGGAGGTATGAAATGCCACCAATTTACTAGTAGTTCCCATTCGATGTAGCCCCCTGAAGCTACCGCATTAGCTCAACTGCACATGAGGATACAGAGCCGTTTGATAGCGTAACATTTCCCAAGTGCTGGTTTAAGGGACAATCATCACACCAGATAATTTGACTTTTGTGTATTTTTGTATTTAATAATTAACACGAACACGTAAAGAAAAATAACTCTCAGGGGAGTCTGTTTTTCTAATGCACTTTTATGTTTTCTAAAGCATCAATAATTTTGCTCTGTTTAGGAGCAGATTGTTGTGGTGGAGCTCTCTGGTATAATCAACAATGACTTTCTGACCAAGAGTGGGGGCACATGCAAGATACTGGTGAGTTTGAAGCATATTCTGTTGTACTGAGAAAAGAGAAACCTAATTGCTTCCAGTGTAGCTTCATAAATCTACTTTTCTCTTTTGTGTGTAAGGACATTGACAGCGACAGACCCATGATGCAAGTTGGACCGTATGTGTTTGCAGGAGAATATGAAGGTGAGAAATCTTGCAAAATGAAAAAGATTCAAACTGCTTGTACCTGCTGTGTTTGCATCCTGCGAGGATACTTATTCATGTTGATGTCCTTTCTTAGTTCCAAAGAGTCATTTCTAGTCTGATATCTGATTAACTATTACAGATTGTTTGTTCTGGAAATATAAGCCATTAATAGATGAGCATGTGGGTGCCGCTGGCTGATTGTCTGTGAAGTTTTTTGTTGTTTTTTAAATCTTTGTTATCTTTGCCTCTTTAAAGATGCTTTGGGAACTTGTGTGCTGTTTGAGGAGACACCAGGAAAAGGTACCAATTTACTACAACTTTTTCAGTGGTTTTACTTAAGTACTTAAGTTGGGTTTTTTTTTTTTTATTATTTGTTTGTTTTTGTCTGCAGGAAAAGGAGTTGGTGGTCTAGATCTGAAGTACTTATGCCACACAGCGAAGAAACTGAAAATGCAACGAATCTTTCTCACAGAGAAGAAAGAGGGTGAAGCAAGCACAGGTCAGCCTGATTGCCCAAATTCAGTGCAGTGCAACATAGATGATCACGTCTAACATTGTTGATACAACTCTGTATACTTTTAGGAGTTAATCAGCACAACCTGCAGTTTTATCTGCAGTTTGATAAAGAATCAACTTTGGAAAATAAAATGCTAAAAACCCAAATATGTCTGTCTTACAGGAAGCTGTGATGGTGGGAAACAGATGGACACAACCTGTGAATCCAGTCAAGGAGAAAATGTTAACCTGCGCGACAAGACAGAAGAAGATGGGGACAATGCAGATTTGGATAACTCAGCAGTTGGCTGAGATATAGAGACTTTGCTGTGCCATAAGCTCCCATTGTTACATAAAACACTTTAATTTTTATGGCTCTGAGAGACTCTGTAAGAAAAACAAACTCATGCCAGTTAGATTACACTTCAGAGCTAACCAGGAGACATGTTTGAGTTACTGTTATTTTTACACAATGTGTAATTGTTGCCTTTTTTATACTAAGCCTCTATGTCGGCAAATGTCATGCATAAGTTGTTAAATATTTTATGCAAAACATGAATGTAGTTAAATCACACCCGAATAAAAAACAGAATTTGTCATAGGTTGTCATGTATATTAATTCTCATCATATCTTCATAGGATGGACATACAGATACTGGGTCAGACCCACTCAGCTTAGAATTTACAATAATGAAAATTCCTGAGCAAAGGAAGACAAAACAGGCAGTATAAATTGCTATTTCTCCAATGAGCTACATAAACATATAAAGAATTCAGAGGGGTATATGATTTAAAATATAATGGCTTTCATATTTCTGATCAAATCTACTATTTGGATGGCACTAAGAGTTGGAAGAGCACTGTTGCTTCACAGCAAGAAGGTCCTATGTTTGAATCTTTCTGCCTGTGTGGGTTCTAACCAGGTGCTCCGGTTTTCTCCCACCATCCAAAGTGTATGTTAGGTGATCCTAATTGGCTGTAGGTTTGAATGCAAGTTTTAATGGTTGTCTGTTGGCTTTGTGATGCACTCGTGAACTCTCCACAGAGTCTCTGGCCTCCATTATAAACTGGGATATGCTCAAGCATCCCACGACCCTGTTTTCAAAAAGTGGAGAAAAAAATGGATAGTTGGATACTCTGATGACAATATATAGTGGTAAAAATGAGTGGTTTCATATTTTTGATTAAATAGTTGCTCTCACTGGGTTGAGGGTTTTTTTTGTTTTGTTTTTTTGTTTTTTGTAATTGCAGGCCTTATTGCATTTTGTTCTTTTTCATTTCTTTTTGGCTACACTTAGCAAGTTTATAATTGTGGATTGTATAATTGTAGAAAATTGTTTATTTTTTAAACAAATAAAAAAGCCGAAAAAAGCCGACTTCTATTTACTTGTGCTTGTTTATGTGACTGCTTCTTTTATGCGTCTGAATATGTATTAGCCAAGCTTCTCTTCATTTTTGTAGCCTCTGTCTTTGACAAATGAATTTCCCCTTGGAATCAATAAAATGTAACAACATTAATACTATACAAAAATATATAATTAATGTATTTATTTATTTAAATAATAAGCGACATGTTTAGGCAAAATGTGATGGTTTTGTAGCTTTTTTGACAGTGGCATTTATGAATGAAGTGTGTTTTGTCGCCTTTGAGGACGTGGCGGTTCTTGGCCAATCCAATCAACGATGCTCTCTTGAAGTGGACCAATGAACAAGCGACATCGCATTCGGCTTCTCGTAACCTGATTGGTTGATTTTTGTTCTAGCACAGGAAGTGCATGGGTGTGTTTCCGAGGGGCGGACGTAAGGCTACAGCGACGAACTTTGCAGAAGAAACCGGTGAGTACTCAAAATAAATTGGGTAAAATCTCTAAAAGAAATAGAGTGTATTTCTCCAATAGTGACTTAAAGTGGTCCGTTATGATGGTGCTGACTTATCCGCATTGAGCGCTTTAAATTGCAAGACTAATAGGGGGGAAAACTAGCGGTATCCTGGGTTAGCCAGTCTGCTATTAATGCCTCACCTTGGTATGGATGGTAACGGTCTTAGAAATAACGGTCACAAACTGTTGCTTCTAACTTTAATACAAAAAAGGCAAGATTTAAGTTGTCGAGATAAAAAAAAAAAAAGATTATATCACTTGCCACGCTAAAGCCAGTATAATGGTGAGCTTTTTTTGATCACAGGATGATAAAATGACCAAAAATTAGAATATATGGGATAGCAACCCGGCAATTCTGTAAAACCGTTATTAGGTGTGTTTTTGCCAGGTAAACTTACAAAGGTCTTTTAGATATGTGAACAGGTAGCTTAATCTCATAAGTTTGCTTTAAAGCTCAAATCTGTGGATGTTTGGAGCAAAAGATCATGCAGCATGTTTTGAAGAGAAATCTGTACTCAATTGCCAGTTTATTAAGTATACCAAGCTTTACGCCGTACAGTAAAAGACAATAAACATGCTCCATTAACATGTTTTGGTTTAATACTTTGTGTGGAGTGACTGTGTAATATGCTGGGAACTGTCGAGTAGATTATGGTAATAACAATGTGTGGAACACCAGCTTCCAGAAAGCAGCAGTAGAACAAATAAAGTATTGCATAAGCTGTGAAAGATTAGCAGTACTCATGGTATTTGGCTGCCCTTTGAGTCATATACTGGCAACCAGCAATGAATGAATGAAATCAAAAGACAGGATTAGTACTGACTGCATGCTTTCATGCCATGATAAAGAAATGGGTTTAGGAGGATGACAATGGCTTTTTGGTGACTTTTTTTCTCCCCTCCAAACTCCTGCTCTAGACGGTGCTTGTACGTGCACAGGATGGAGCTGCGGCCACTCATCATGTGTTTTGCTCTCTGCGTGGTTTACGCCACCAGCAAACCCACAGACAAGAAGGACCGTGTGCACCACGATGAACCTCTCAGCAGCCGAGAGCACGATGATACTGAGAACTTTGACTATGACCATGAAGCCTTTCTGGGACAGGAAGAGGCTAAGACTTTTGATCAGCTCACACCAGAAGAGAGCAAGGAGAGGCTCGGGTAACAACACTGTCTTCTGCTTTTTTTTTTTAAAGTCATTGGGGGATGTTTGTAATTACCTGAATACTTTGAGGAATTATGCAGATACAAATGAATCCCAAAATTGGTTGAAAAAGTAATTCTTGTGGTACATTTTGTTTTGATCATGCTTATCTGAGATGACAAAACTTTAGGGGGGGAAAAAATGAACCTTTTCTAATTTTTCTGCTCTTTCTTTCCAGCATGTTGGTTGAGCGTATAGATGAGGATAAAGATGGTTACGTGACTGTTGAGGAAATGAAGAAGTGGATCAAGCACGCACAGAAGAGGTGGATCTATGATGATGTGGATCGACAGTGGAAGAGTCATGACCTCAACGGGGATAACGTGGTGTCATGGGAGGAATACAAGAATGCCACTTATGGATACATTCTGGGTACAGAGGCAGACAGTTTTCGTTTCATACGTTAGCTTTATTTTTATAGACAAATGTACTTTGCCACTCTTGGACTCACACTGAAAAATGCTGTGTCTTCTGACTCGCAGATGATCCCGACCCTGAAGATGGCTTCAGCTACAGGCAGATGATGGCTCGTGATGAGAGGAGATTCAAAATGGCTGACCAGGACAATGACATGAAAGCTAACAAGGAGGAGTTTACAGCCTTCCTTCACCCTGAGGAGTATGACCACATGAAAGACATCGTAGTGCTGGTGAGAGACACACTCACAAAGGTGCTACATACTGAGACCAACTGGATATCTTCCTTATCCTTTCTCACTATGTACTTTTTTTTCTTCTTTTTTTTTAAGGAAACTATGGAAGACATTGACAAGAATGGAGATGGCTTAATTGACCTGGATGAGTACATAGGTGAGTTCTGACAGCCTACCAGCATCATTATTAGTTTGTACCACACGATCTTTGGTGATTGGAGGAAGCAAACCAACACACATATTAAGTTTTATTATATTTTATAGGCCACGTTGCATTTCTAGCACTTGCTTCATCAGTCAATGTGTTCCTGTCTGTTTGTGGTCTAGGTGACATGTACAACCAGGAGGGAGACACCTCAGAACCTGAGTGGGTGAAGACTGAGAGGGAGCAGTTTACTGAATTCAGAGACAAAAATAAGGACGGGAAGATGGACAAGGAGGAGACCAGAGACTGGATCCTGCCCAGTGACTATGACCACGCTGAGGCTGAGGCCAAGCATCTGGTCTATGAGTCTGATGCAGACAAAGTGAGTACTGTAAAATGTCAAAATTACTTATTTCTTTCATTTTGTTCCTTGTGACTTTACTTTTATCTGCACCGTGAGTTTAGGTATAGAAAGTGAAAGTGGACTCATGCCCACACTGGTTATAACATTTTTAAGTTTTTGAATATGTAGCAAAATTGACTTGACCTAGTAAATTGTTAAATGTGATCCCAAACACTAGTCGAGACCAGACCAGTCAGCAAGATCCTGATCAGCTCATACCAGTGTTCAGAAAATACTGGTGTATCTGTAATCAAAACTCAATTGGAGGCCTTTAAAATAGCTTGAAAGGCAGACCATTGTGTTAGTTCAAACATATAGGACAAACTGAATGCCTATAGCAGATGGTTTCTTGTGTTTCTTTTGTCAGGATGGCCATCTCACCAAAGCCGAAATTGTGGATAAGTATGACCTGTTCGTGGGCAGCCAGGCGACCGACTTCGGGGAGGCGCTGACTCGACACGATGAGTTCTAAAATCCGCCTGCCTCCAAAGACTGTGTGCTCTTCTTGTGTGCCACCTTTTAGCCGTGGAGTGTTTTTTAAACAAGATGAGCTTGCCTAATCGAACGCCACAGACAATAATTTATTTGATTTCTTGAATGTGTCCCATTGCATACACACACACTAACATTCTAAGCAACTTGCACACCATCGGCCAGTGTGAGCTCATGTTAAGCAATGCCTCAGATTGGGATATATAATGCCGGCCTTTGCTCTGCTTCCATACACTACCTTTTTTTTTGCCCATGTCAGGTAAAGGACAAATCAGATATTATTTTCTTTGAGAAGACAGTTTCTTTGCATAGCCTTGATTTGTTGCAAAATGCTTCATGGAACAGAGTTTTAGTTTGTAGCCTACAGAGCAGCTTGTCACAGCATGTCATTCTGTAGTGCATTAGACTGAAGCAAAAAGCAGAATTTGTACCATTGCTCTGTAATTGGGCTCAAACTAAACTTTACTTGTACTTTGTTTTTCATTTCTTCATATTATTGTGATGCTGGAGTAACAGCTGTTTGTAACAAGGAGGTATATGTTGAATTCCAGTGGCAATGGAGACCATTTGGTCGAGTGCAATACAGTATCATCAGTTGGACCAGGCTTTGTTTGCTAAGCTGGGCCTAAACCTTCCACGTTAACAAAATCTGCACATCCCAACCGACGTGCTTCGTGTTAGCTGAAGGAATACAGATGAATTTAGGGACTGATGGATGCTTCGTCCTCAATGCTGCCTCCTTTCTTCTATCTCATCACCTCATTAGTGTGAGTGCGTGTGCGTGCATGTGAATCCGTGTGTACATATTTACTTGTATTCTTGATGACTTGTTTTTTTTGCTTTTTATTGTTACAGTTTTGTTTGATTCAGCTGAACTAATTTGTGTGCCAACCAAAATCTTTGTCCTGTTTTGTAAGCAATTTAGTTTAGAAAAAAATGACGTTTCAACATTTCTTTCCCAGATATGTTTGTCATGTTTGTACTATCACTACTAGCATTTATAACCACTGTTAATAATTTTTATGGTATTATATATGACTTTTTTTTACAAGCTCACTGCAGCAACAGCCTTTCACTAGTGACTTTACTGTAAATGAGTTGTTCAGCAAAGTGAGCACTCTAACAATCAGGTCCAGTTTTTGTGATTGAGAACAAAGTCTCAATAAAAAATTAAAAAAGGAGTGTTTTGGTTTCTTTATTCTTTTGTGTTGGTTAAGCTGTCAGAAGCTTTCTGCTGTATAACAGCTATTCTCTGGAAAGCTAAACATACCAATTTCTCAGTTACTGTCTTCTACAAACTTCACATTCCTAATAAATAATCTTATAAAACATTTCATCATATTAAGTGGAAGCTGAAAAATATCAGTGCTCGTATTAACAGTGAAGGAAAAACACAGTTCAGAATGTTGACCTGCTTGTTGTCTTCCTTCCACCTTCTTTTTCAGACATTCATTTTCCCTTTCACTATAATACCAATGTTGGTGTTTTTATATACAAAAGTGTCAGAACTGAGCTGAATGCACACAGTATTTAATGAATGCGGCGAAGTCACAAACTATTCAGAATAGGGCGTGATGAATATTAACAATTTATTCAGAAGCTCTTTTCTTTTGAGGTCTTTGTGATCTTTAGATTCACATTCACTTACCTGATGCTATTCATTAGGAGCCTTAACCTTTAAGTTTTTACAGAAAAATGTTTTTTTTTTTTATTCTGCTTTGATGTACAAAAATGTGAGAAGAACAGGATTCATCTGCAGAATATTCAAGACTGAGTGCTGCCTGCTACACTGACAAACTTATTAAAGGAAGAATCAGTAGTATGCACAACCTTTCACCTTTTGTATCTTTAGATTTCTAGTGTCTATAACCATCTGTCAGTGGCCTTTAACAACGAAAACTGAAACCGTATCTTTAGACACGCTATGCTGAAAGTTAAACTATGGCCAATTCTGACCTGCCTTTATTTCTGAAGTAGCCCAATAGCATGAGGCTGCCACCAGCGTTTTTCACTGTAGAGATTGCATCAACCAGTTTATGAGTGTTTGCCTGATGCTGTGCTTGCAGTTCTTTCTAATGAGTTCAGTTTTGTCCTGTCAAATCAGAAAAAGCAAGTAAGTCCTTAAAATACTGTTTGGAAAATTCAAAGCTTGCTTCCTGTGCTCGAGTAGCTTCTGTAATTAAATTAAAAGAGCATTCAGTATAGCTAACTGTAGGAACAGTCCCTGTGGTTGTAGAATTTTTTTTCTTTCTTTTCCCCCCCCCCACATCACAGTTTATGAAGCCATTTTCCTACCAGGAAATAGTTTCTCCGGTTCTGTAGCTTGATAAAGATCTACAGAAGTTCCTTGGCTTTTTTCCCACTGACATGCAGTGTATGTTGACATAGATCTGAAAAGGTCCATCAGAATGGAGCCTTTAAGAGTAGATGAACAGATTGGGTACTAATGGCGCTGAGTGTTTGAAATACTGAGAGATTAAAACTTCAGATGTGTCCATGCCTGTTGTAACATGTGCTCCCCTGTTCTCTTTGATTTCAAACTGATGTTCCGTGATGAATGTACACATATTTTATACTAATTTTATGCTGTAAGTAAGTACATTCATAAGTGTAAATCTCTTCTCATCAAAATTCATAACGGTGTGGAACCTTAGATGCACAGGTAAGTGGCTTTTCAAATGTGGCTGTGCTTTGCACTGTGACTTTAAATGTAGATTTTGTACTTGTGTCATGTGATGGCAGCTGCTGGGGTTTTAACAGCTGCAAAAAGACGTCACTGACTGGAATGTGACCAGAAAATCAGACATTTGCTGTGATTATCCCTTTGAACATTCTGATTACTGATAAACGATCATTATCAAGTATGTGTTGTGCTCTTTGTTACAACATGTACATAAACTGGAGCTGCATTTATCCCTGTGGATTTAAATGTTAGCCTTACATAGTCCTCTGATATTACAGCAAGTGTTTTGCTTGTGACTAGTACACCCACAGCAACACCACCGACCCCCCATGTTCAGTCTGGATGGAATTTTAGCAGCACTTTTCACTGAGATTTGTGTATATTTATCTTTTTGAAGTATATTTCACATATTTCATCATATTCAGGATAAACTCGTATATTTGGTTAGTGTGAAATGTTTGGACAACAAAATCTCAATTTATGCTTACATTTGTTTTAAAACAGTGTGTTATTTATTTGTATTGCATTTTCATGGTATCCTTATTATCTTATTTAGACTATGACTACTGTATGTGTTATGAATGGATCAGCATGGTGTATTTCATGCTACATGTTACACGTTACATGTTGTTTTACATATAGACTAATAAGCTACAACTTTCAAACCATGTGTCAAAATATCATGGAGGTTCCTCTTGTGTTACTGAAACATTATTCAGAAAAATTGACTCCAGGTCTTCAGTACGTCACGGATGTTCAGTAAGATTAGTATGTGAAGAGTCCAAGTCATTAACTTAGCCTCTTTGTCATGTTTGTGGGAGCCTCTGTGAGCATCATTCTGCTTAAGGAGGCCATGCTGCCGGGGAGTGCCATCTCACTGGATAGGTTTCCTTAATCTGCAGCTATGCAACTATTTGGGTGAGTGGCACCATCAAAGCAACAGGACTCAAGATTTCCAAGGAGAACATTGCACTTTGGTTTTAATGTTGTAGCTTATTAGTGCAAACACATGCAGGCCTTTTTTTGATGTGGCCCTTCAAGTGCACTGTGTATACACCCAGTCTTCATTTATGCCTTCAGAACAGCAGAGCCAGCCTTTAGTGCTTCTTTGTTTCTCCATGATTTCTCCATCTTCGTCTTACCTGCGCCATCTTCTGTCACCCGCCTGCGATATCATAGTGACATCACTTACTAAATGTGATAAAAATGGGATTACAACGAGCCATCACTCTCAGCAGCTCTTCTTCGTCTGACTCCAACTCACCCTCACTGTTCTTGTCTGCATCTTCATCTCCCAGAAAACCATCATCATCCTCCCCCACCCTGCGGTCATCTTGGGTGTTTACCGAGTTTGTCGATGCCCTTTTTTCCTCAGGATGACTGCTACTGTCTGCTGTCCCGTCGAGACGCTCTGATTCTATTTCATCCAGTGACGTAGAGGGTTGGTACACCTCTGTGCTCAGAGCTACCGCCGTTCGCTCTGGTGTTTCTGGTGGCGTCTCAGTGGGAGAGGTATCTATATGTACCAATGTGGCCTTTAAAGGGACATCCTCTGGGGTGGGTGGGGGTGTGCTTGTCTGCCTGGGGATGGATGTGGACAATAAAGGCGAATATGAGGGCGTCTTCACGTGAGATTTACGAAAGGGTTTGTCAATTTCTGCTGAAGCGATTCGGGTACGACTGAATGGAATACTGGATTGAGAGGAGGGGCTAGTTGTTGGGTCAACAAGATCATCATTGGAGCCTGTTTGCATATCCGGGCATGTTACAGGTGGAGTTGTATCAGCGTCATCGGTTTCAGGGCTTGGGCTGATGTTAGATTGTTCCTCAATAGACTCCGGGTTTGATTCTGGTGGGATACCAGGGGTTTCGTTGGGTGGAGCAGCACCCAGAGTTTTATCTGTTGGGCTCACATTTGCAGGGGCTGTAAAAGTGGGCGAAATGCAAGATATGTTGGTTGGTGTAGAAACATTATTGTCAAAGGTTACAGTTTCAGTGGGGATGGAGCTGGTGTCAGGTACAGCTGTATCTGTGGGTGGGGTCGGTTCTTGACAGGGGGTACATCCTTGTTGGATGTAGATTCCTGGGTTTTCAGTAAAGCTGAAGGAAGGATTGTAAGTTCCATATTCTTCACTGCTGTAGGGTACTTCCTCCGTTTGTGGCATAGTATTATGATGACTCATCTGAGGAGTGATTACATTCATCAGATCAACACACAGAGGAATAAAGCTACTTTTTGCACAGAGATACAAAGACGGTGCAAGCAAATCATCCTGAGCAAGATTATTTGAATATGCAGATTGCCCTCGAGTCTCACAGACTTATAAAGTACTCTGAATATTCAAATACTGTATAAACTTTAACATTAGAAATAGTAGATTCGACAAGCAGGGTCCATGTGACATTTCTTGACCACACCTTTTGTGCGTGTTATTCTGTAATAGGAAGTTTGAGTTAAATCTGCAGATGAAGGCCATGAGATGGGTTTGGAAATTTTGGAACTAGTGAGGAAGTTGTATCTTGTATTTACATGAATTTTATTATTCATTCAGTTTTGTAAAACCTGATCATTTACTTTTAGCAGAATTAGAAGAGTTCAGATGTAAAACTGTAATTAAATCCCTTAGTTGGTTTTGGATAGAAGATAAATATGCTATAAAGGTAACATTAAAAGGACAAGCAGTTTTTACTACAGGAAAAAAATATGGTGAGGATACAGATAACTCTAAAACAAAACAAACAAACAAACAAACAAACAAACAAGAGACCACTCACCAGCTGGAACCATCGTAAGCTCTGTGGGAGTAAATGGCAGAATATTTTGGATCACATTCAGACAAATAAAAAATGTTAATTTTAATTTTAGTAAATATTTTAGTCATAAATTATCTTACGACATTGGGATGTTTGCCTTGTGCTACACAGCCTCTCTCCAATGGGCCTCTCTTTCCCTTCTGTTTCTTCTTCAGCCACATCAGTATAGACAGGACACATCCAAGTGCAGTCATAAACACCATGCTCAGAAACAACGCTTTACCCACTGTGCAGCCGATCACGTGATCACCTCGCAGTGGACCATAGGGGACTGGGGCAAACAAAGTAAAACATGAAGAGGCTGTTTTAGTCTGCAGGATTATTAGCAATCAGCAGTGTATACAAGTGTGCAGATGGGTCACCTTACTTGGTTGCCCTTCAGGTAACACCTCCACAACTACGGTAGCAAACGTGGCATCACCTGATTCCTGATCTACAGCCATAACCTGCAAAGTATTTTAATGGCATCATTATCTTATTTACATGCATCTTTTATGAGACTTTCGTGGAAGACAGAGGGCAAGTGGAGCACAGAAAACATGATTCACATAGACCTAATATAAACTCGCCTATGTTATTAGTAACTACAGGGAGACACTGGTTGTAATATTTTAGCCAATCGATTTTACATTGTTACATATTGGTTACATTTCCCCCCACCAGTTCTTACTGTGTTTCTACAATTTTAGTATAGAAAGACAATGTTATTGAATATATATGAACTATTTTATACTACTTTATTTAAATTCTCTGTAATGTATGATTCAATTCAAACGGTTGTTTAAAAAGTGCTAAATGTAAGTAACACAACATAAGGTTTGTAGCCTGTACAGTTTCGAGGCTCACCTCCAGAACATATTCCTGTTCTGGTTTGAGTTCGCTGGTCTTGGCTATCAGGAGACCCTCCTGTGTGACTTGATAGATGTCTGTGTGATTGGATGTGGGATTGAACGTGAAGTAGATCATTGGATTGAAACCCTGTGAGTTTGTGGAGAAAAAAGGTGACGCATTACAGACTGCACTGACCATCGGCAGCATGGTTGTATCTGTGCATGTCACAGTGCATACTTGGTTAAAATCTTGGTCGTGTACATGTAGCACTAGTGCTTTGCTACCGTAAGTATCGACCAGAGAGGCTGGACTTTTTCCTGCTACTACAAAGCCACGATATTCAGGCTTGTCAAACTCTGGAGAAAACTGGTTCGCTGCCAGAACTCGGACCAACACTGTAGCAACAGAATACTTCCTGGGGTCGTTATCCTGATATGCCTGGGTGAATGACATAGAGACAAAAAGCCACAGTAATGAGATTGGTACTGAAGAAGACGTCATACATTTTAAACCTGCCACTTACAGTGTGTTTGAGCCTTACCATGACCTGAAGACACAGCAGTGGAGTTATGAGCCTGTCTCTCACCCCTCGAGTGAGCCTCGTCTCACCTGTCAGCCTGTCCATCGTGAAATGTTCATCATCATCTCCTGCAACCCAGAAAAACCCAGTTATAGATACAAACACAGAACATTTTTAAATACTGATTTGTGTTGCTGGTTATCTTACCTGACAGGATGGTGTAACTCAGTGAAGAGTTGAGTCCTCTGTCTCCATCCACTGCATGAATGGGACCAGGAGAAAAGTCCAACAAAATGTCCTGCAATATTATACATATTTGTTCAAATCAGCTCTAATAAAGTAGTAACCAAGCCACTGGATCTGAGTCTTGTTTGAACTGTGACAGGGAATTACAAAAATGCCAGATAACATAAAATTTTTTGATAGAATCTAAATAAAAAAATAAAGGAAATTCATCATTTTTTAAATTTAATATCCTTTATTTTGTTTTTTAAGAAAATAAAGCTCAGAGCATTATCTTGGGTGTTTTGATCTGCTAAAACTAACATTTTGGACTTCGTCAGCTTTAAGTTTACCAAACTCTGAGCGACTGATAGCCACGCACTGTGTTGCTCTGATGACATGTGTGTGCCATCTGTGAGGGAGGGTTTAGCACCTGACCTCTTCCCCCTCAGTGACGTTGACCGTGTACACAGGGCTGGTGCAGATTTGATTAGTCTCCTGGAAAAGCCACGTGCAGGGCAGGAACTGTGGGTATTGGTCATCTCCATCTTGGACAGTGATGGTGGTACTGGTGCTGATATTGTAGTGCTCAGCAGTGTTCATTTCCTGAAATAAAGACAAGTCAAATATATTACACTGGTCATGAAGCATGAAATACAGTGAAGCTTTTCTTACAGTCTTACAATCAGGAGAACCAGTGAATCAAATCTTGATTGTATTTTTATTTTATTTTTTGGGATAAAAAACAATCTAGCAACATATGTATATATTTGCACAATTACTCACGTGATTAGAATCAAAGAAATATAAATTAAATAAATGTACATACTGAGGCATAGATGGTGACAGTAAGCACAGTTTTGGTCTCATAGTCTAGAGGCTTGGCCAGCACCACCTCTCCACTGTTTGGTAGATCAATTTTGAAATATTCAGCATCAGGCTGTGGAATACACACAAATACATAAACAATGATAAATTGTTTGTTTATGTTTCCAATTTTTATTTAAAAGGTAGAAAAATACAACTTACGGATGCCTGGTCAATTGAGTAAATGATGTTGTCATTATCGGCATCTGTGGCCTGGACAGTAAATACCACAGTATTCACTGCAGTCAGCTTGAAAACACAGACAGACAGAGAAGCACTTGAGGCAGCAGGAGTGGAATTTTTATTGTAATATACACATGCAGAGATTTGCGTGCGGGTATTTTTGAAAGCCCTATACCTCACTGATAATAAGAGTCTGGACTGTGTTTTCTGGAAACACAGGTGAATTATCATTCTCATTAAGAATCTTCACCAGGACGCTGTAAACACTCTAAAATAACAGCAAAAAGACACACATATATTCAGCTTTGAATCTGGAATGATACAAAGAGGAATTATGAGTAAAATGATGGAAGACAGTGTACCAGAAGGATGCCGTCCTCATGACATGTCAATTCAGCTATTAGGATGGGTCCCAGTGCCTAAAAGATGTAAAACAAGAGGCGACAGGCAGAGCTTTTCATTCAGTGATATGATAACATTGTTAAACATAGCTGTCAAAACCACACATTTCAAATGGAGTCCCTTTCCAAATCAGAAACTTTGTAACCAGAGTCCATCAAAGACACTTATAGAGAAGCTAAGCAGGGTTGGGCCTGGTTAGTACTTCTGTTGATGTTCAGGGTTATTTTTCAAATCTTAATTTAGGCCACTTCTCTTTATTCAGTAAACAGGACATAAGAGTCATGTGAGCTCAATACCTGTCTAATAACATGAAACATTAATTTGTATAAAGGGATTTTAAATCAATTTAAAAGAATAGACTTGTTGTAATCATAGTTTTTAAGCTGATTTGTGTTGAGTTTTTGAGTTGATTATTAAATATGTAAAGAGTCTTTCCATTCTATAATGATTTATATAATATATAACTTAGATTTGGTCTGCATTTGGATTACTTAATGCTATAAAGTATGAAATTATAACATTTCTTTCACTGCAGCAATTGCATATTTAAAATAAACACATGTGGAGATTTATGCATTGACCACTTTGTTAGGTGCTGCCTGTAAATACAAACTAATCAGCCAATCACATCAGAATGGGGAAGAAAGGTGATTTAATTGATTTTGAACACAGCATGGTTGTCTGTGCCAGATGGGCTGGTCTGGCGTCAACAATAAAAAAGAAGAAAATAAAATCCCTTATTAATGCCAGAGGTCACAGGAGAATGGGCAGACCATGCTGGATTTTGAAGCAGATGGTTACAGCAGCAGACTACACCTATATCTGTCAGCTGAGACTACAGTTTGCACAGTTTTAACAAATTGGACAACAGAAAATTGGAAAAACGTTGCCTGATCTGATGATTATCAATTTCTGCTGTGACATTCAGAATTTGATATAAAACAACATGAAACCATGGATCCAGTAATTTATGCTAGTGATGGTGATGTGATGGTGTGGGGGGTATTTTCTTGGCACAATATGGTCTCCTCGGTTTCAACAGATCATTGTTTAAATATCACAGTCTACCTGAGTATTGTTGCTGACCAACTCCATCCCTTTATGACCACAGCAGACCCATTTTTTGTTGGCTGATTCCAGCGGGATAATGCACCATGTCACAAAGCTAAAATCATGTAGTTTTTTGAATATGAAAGTGCATTCACTGCACTCAAATGGCCTCCACAGCTAACAGATCTCTATCCAACAGAGAACATTTGGGATTTAGTGTGACAGGAGATTCATATCATAGATAGATTCATATCATATCATAGATGTACAACAATCAACAAATCTGCAGCAACTGTGTGATGCTATCATGTCATTTGTTCACAGATCAACCCATTTCTTTCTGTTTATTAAGTTCAGGATTGTTGGGGTTATATGTATTATAAATATTATAGCTTCTTCCTTCTGAAGTTGTTTATCTCATTTTTTTTGTTTTAAATGAGTGATCAGCACATTGAAAGACTTTCTTGGTGTGAGAGAGAGATAATCTAGCTGACCCATTAACAGTTGCCATGATGTAAGAGGATGACAGTAAGAGAGGTTGGGTTTGGGCCAAGAAGGAGATAGTGAGGTTCAACATGTGTTTGTTCCAAATACAGTTTCCTTAGTGTGGCTCAAGGCCACTACAAAAAGTATATTACACATCTAAATATTTCTGCCTTGTAGACAGCTCAGTTATCAGTGCCATTACCTCTCTGTCAAGCACCCGGTCAGCTGACGTGTTGAGCCGGATGTTGCTTCCATCCAAGAAAAACCAATGTGCATCCTTTCCAATTAGGCTCCACTGCACTCCCTCCATTGTGGTGTCAGCCATTAACTCAGCAACAATCTCTCCCCAAACTGTGTTTTCTTTGATTGCTGCAGATACATTCTGGCCGTCCAAACATCCACCCCAGCCTGACATTCCTGTGCCAAACACAAACACACACTTGAACACATAGACGGGGGGTTAAAGCTTCATTAAGTGTGACCTATAACTTAAGCTTTTGGCTTGACTGTGAGGTGGTTGCACCTGTGACTGTGCGAAGATACAAGAGAACCAGCAGCAAGCAGACTGGAGCCCTGGCAGTTGGTCCAGTGAGGGCCATTCCTGGGTTAGGACTCAGGAGCCAGTTCTGCCTGAGTCAAGGCAGAGAAAGAGCAAAAAACAAGTAACTAAACATAGTCATTGTTATTAGTGTGTCACATTCAGTTATTCTCTTTAGGTTAAGAGTGTGACATGATACCCAAACACAAATACACTCAACTCTGCCTTATAAATCCAGTTTAATAAATTTAAATTGGGTTTCAGTTGGGGTTTCTTCAATCAGAAAGAGCAGACTAGTAATAGTAATAGTAATAGTTAGCTACATGTTTCTCTAACATGCTTTCCTTACTTTTATTCCCAGTTCATCTGCAGACATGTAATCTTAACTCTACTCTGTCAGTGCTGGTAATACTCACATGCCTCCTGTATCAGGGATTTCTAAAGATTTTTTTTACTATTCATCAGTGTTCTCATTACATTGTCTTATATCAGAAATACTAACAACTCCCAAATTTTTTTTTAATCAGACTTAAGGAATCGCTGGATTTTTAAAAAAATTTTTTTTAGCAGCATCTCTACCTTGACCTTGTTTACTATACCACCAAATAGTTTAACTGTGGGTCTGCGATGCTCTTGAGTAACTGTTTGGATCTGTGAGCACATCCCACTGAAATAACAACTTTACCATTTATATGAAGTAAAATAAACACACAGAAGCCTGCCTTTACACACTCATCTGAACAGTTTGTTTTATAGATCAAGATTGATCTGCCATCCACACTGTTTGATAAACTTCGGCTGACTGACCTGTTGTTGTCAAATCCGCTGAAGCTAGTTGGTCAGTCTGCATATCCTCCTGACTTCTGATGGACGTGGCATGTCTGAGTCTCAAAACCCCAAAAATCCACCAAACATGGTTAAGAAAGACAGAGTGACGCTTTCAAAAATAAAAATAAGTGACAGCAACAGGTAAAACACACACATACACACACATTGACACCACCCTCCCCACATACATTAAAAAGCAGACAGCAGCTTATGTGTGTCCGGGGATAAATGCCAGCTCAGAGGCTAAAGGCTGAGGGCGTGGCTTACCTGGCCAAAGAGGAAAACGCCAAAGAGATTAGAGATGACAGGAACCTGACAATGAGGTCAGAGACTGGGGTACCAAGTGAATTCAAGAGATTTGTATGATACTCTGAGACTCTTCACCTTTATAGACATTGTGTCTGGCAAACTCAGCTGTCAGTATTACAGCGCATAACAAGAACATCATTTTGTTTAGTACATTAGGTCTAGGATGGTCATACATAGATTTAAATTTCAGGCTGTGAGATAGTTAAGAAATTTTTAAATGATTCTAAACATTTTCTTTGGCAATACAGCTCGTCCCTGATGGATTTGTTCAATTAGCAATTAATGTGTGACAACTAATAGACCCTGACAAGGGATTAGCTGTTCATCTTCTGGAGATTAACCCACATGTCTTTACACACTTATCTCAGCACACCCATGCAAAAACAAACAAACAGAAAAACAGAACCTCCCAAAACAATAAAATTAAGGAGTGTGTACACATACCTTTTGGGATCTGGACTGGGACAAAAAATCAGCCCGGGCATTTTGACTAGTGACTGGCCCACCATGGTATTTTAGGAAAAGCCATAAAGCCTTTATAATAAACGTAAACCTACACCAGCCTCCCTATTCTGGTATTCTAAACAGTACTTAGAAAAAACATATAACAACATAATAATAATTACATATACCTATCTAATGGGGGTGCAACGATACACAAAATTCACGGTTCGGTTCGGTTCGATACTTTGGTGTCACGGTTCGATATTTTTTCGATACAAAAAAAATGTTCATGCCTTTTTAATTTGTCATTTATTAAAATTATAAATATATATTTTAACTCAAAAGTACAGTTTTTAAATTTAATGTTGCTGAAACAAAAATAATTAAAAAAATAAATATATCTGATTGAGGAATCACTCATCTTTGGAAAAGAGAGTTTATTACAGAGAAATGGCTCTTTCCAAAATAAAAGCTATACTATACGCTTCTTCTGGGCTATATTCTCAGCAGCATATTGTAGCGGGTCAGGGCTGTTCGGGGTTCTGTTTGTACAGTTATGTTTTGTTTATGTTGCCATAGTGACGGGTGACGCCCTCTTGCTGCGACGGTGTGTCCTTCCGGGGTCAGAGGGCGCCCTGTGTGTTGTTGTTGTTGTTGCTGTGCGGTTACCGCGCTGAGCAGTTAGCTAGCGGCAGTGTTCTTCTGCAGATGTCAATAAACGGCTGTGCTCCCTGGCTAGCTCACGGGAAGCAAGACCAAACAACACCTCCGTCTCCTCGTTGTCTGAGCTCGCCACATTGGTGTCAGAAGTGGGATGATGGTGGCACCCCATGTTCTGACCCGAGTGACTTTTCCCCCGCCTGTCGTGACCGGCGGTGCGCCAAAGAAGGCACCTGGATATTTGCAAAGTGAAAGCAAAAAACAAGCGCAAATTCAAACGCGATTTCAATATGTCACATATTGACAGTGGCTCACCGATGCCAATGACATAATTACCCAGCTACATTTCCGAAAGAATGCAAAAGCATTGACATATATTTTTCCTTCCTACAATAGCCCGACGGGCAGGGCAGAGATAGATTTTGGTAGCCCGACTGGAAAAATCGCTAGCCCGATTTTGCAAGCCCTGTGTTACAGGCATGGCCCTTTAAGGATGAAGCCTGATGGGAAATGTATTCGGGATGTGTGTAGCGGGACTGCCTGGTGTGTGTGTGTGTGTGTGTGTGTGTGTGAAGAGAGAGAGCGGAGAAGGGGAAAAAGTAACGGTTAGCTACAGAAGAGACGGAAAGAAAATAAATAAAAGGAATATAATAACTCCCTCGACAGCCAGAGTTGTGTCGGCGATGCTCGCTGTGAGTAAACTGTTTCAGCCCACTGTACGCTGTGTTCGTGCCTTAGAGAAGAAATAAAGTTCGGTGAAGCAGTTTCCTACGCCTCCTTCGATCTTTTTGCTAGCGGAGTTGACCTGTATAGTAAGCTGTTGCCGGCTACGAGTCAGTTACGGAACCTTCAAGTAACTGCCAGAGGTTTCCTTACTACGGTTCGGGGCCGCGGATCTGGCGCGGTAACACCTGTATCTGATTGAGGAGTCACTCATCTTTGGAAAAGAGAGTTTATTACAGAGAAATGGCTCTTTCCAAAATAAAAGCTATACTATACGCTTCTTCTGGGCTATATTCTCAGCAGCATATTGTAGCGGGTCAGGGCTGTTCGGGGTTCTGTTTGTACAGTTATGTTTTGTTTATGTTGCCATAGTGACGGGTGACGCCCTCTCGCTGCGACGGTGTGTCCTTCCGGGGTCAGAGGGCGCCCTGTGCGTTGTTGTTGTGGCTGTGCGGTTGCCGCGCTGAGCAGTTAGCTAGCGGCAGTGTTCTTCTGCAGATGTCAATAAACGGCTGTGCTCCCTGGCTAGCTCACGGGAAGCAAGACCAAACAACACCTCCGTCTCCTCGTTGTCTGAGCTCGCCACATTGGTGTCAGAAGTGGGATGATGGTGGCACCCCATGTTCTGACCCGAGTGACTTTTCCCCCGCCTGTCGTGACCGGCGGTGCGCCAAAAGAAGGCACCTGGACATTTGCAGGACTTTGTGTGGGGCAATGGGGTCGTCGGGGACGACTGACCCCTTAGGCGGGGGCTATGTAGCGGGTCAGGGCTGTTCGGGGTTCTGTTTGTACAGTTATGTTTTGTTTATGTTGCCATAGTGACGGGTGACGCCTTCTCGCTGCGACGGTGTGTCCTTCCGGGGTCAGAGGGCGCTCTGTGTGTTGTTGTTGCTGTGCGGTTGCCGCGCTGAGGAGTTAGCTAGCGGCAGTGTTCTTCTGCAGATGTCAATAAACGGCTGTGCTCCCTGGCTAGCTCACGGTAAGCAAGACCAAACGACACCTCCCTCTCCTCCTTGTCTGAGCTCGCCACAATATTAAACATATCAGGTCTCCATAAGGAGAATCATGTGCTAACGGCTGTCTAAATGACTCGGGTAAAGTTTGTAACATGCATGCTTGTTGTTTTTGTCTGCTTCCACTTGTCTTTGCACTAGGATGATGTCGGCGTAAATGTGCAGTCATATTCGTTGTGTTCCCACTAGTGCTCCGTTATCGAGCTACCCCTGCGTGGGGCTAGACGGCTAACACGTTAACGAGCTAACTGCTCGCTAACACACTAGTTCCCACCCATGTAATTGAGCATTGCGTGGCACATCCAACATACTGTTTTACTTTAGTCCATGACGCGCTTACCTTCAGGGTCATATGTCACATGAAAACCAAAATAATTCCAAAAGCCACATCTGAATGAGGGTGGGGAAGGTTCAATTTGCCATGTTGCAAGGAGAGCTTAACTTCTGTCTCGCTAGCTTGCCCTGCGCTCGTCCTTCTGATGATGCTGTCTGTGTTGAGCGCTCAGTGGATCTGCGCTCGACAGTGCAGCCTAGGCTGAGTAGTCGAACGCAGATTTACTGAGCGCTCAACACAGACAGCATCGTCAGAAGGAAAGTTGATAAAATAAATTACAAATTTTGTATAGTTCGATACATATGCGTACCGAACCGAAAGCACTGTATCGAACGGTTCAATATCGATACGAGTATCGTTGCACCCCTACTATCTAATAGGGTTGCCAGAATCCCAGCAAAAAAGCAAAAGAAAAAAAAAATAGGGAACCACTCCCCCACCCTCTGCCTCAAGATTTTAATTTAATGCACGTATAAAACAAATGCACAGAAATTTATTATTTTTCTCCAGTATTTAAATATATTCATCATCTTTCTTCAACAGAATTGCAGACTGCACAGATGGTACCTTCCCAAAGGAAAGAATACTATAACGTACTAGGGTATATACTAGACTTAATATTTACTGAATACAATAATGGATTTCTATACATTTTACATCAGATAGAAACTTTGGTTGTAAGATTCAGATAATTATTTATTAAAAGCTAGACATTTTAAATAAGAATAAGGAAGAAAAGTATTTCTTTGTGCCCCCCTTTCCCTGTTAATGCCCTACCTGCCCCGCTGGCAAAACATTGCTAGACCCGCCCCTGCACAGCTACCAGCGTCAGCTACGTAAAAAAAGGATCCTGGTGTTATTTGTCTCTCAGAAACAGTTCATAACTTCCCTTCAACTCATTCATGTCACCTAAAAGGTAAACCTGTTTCTCCATCACCTGTTCAGCTCTGATGATTCAGTAAGGACATCTCCTGGTTTCATCTTCATGTTTCCCTCTCACCACATATCCAAACGGATATCATGACCAGCAGCTTTACAGCTGTGGCTCCAGCAAACATCAGCTGATACTAGAAATTAATATTAAATAAGTTCTAATAACAGCTGATCAAGCTTAAACGTGCTGCTGTTCTTTAGCGTGACCTCCGCCGGTTTCCTCTTCCTGGCGCAGAGAGAAAAGCCGATCAGCTGATCATTAATCAGTTTCATGATTGAATTAGCAACTTTCTAGCTGAAGTAGTACGGGACAAATCGCATTCCTTTTCACCTCAACTTTAAAGTTCGAACCCCTCGGCTGTAATTGGTCCAGTCCAGAGTCGATCATGACCAACTGGCCAATCCACCACTATTCACTTATACCGCTAAAAAAAAAGAAAAGAAATAAAACCCCATCGGCCCATAAAAACGAAAAATCACGAGCGGCCCATATGACGGATGGCCAGTCCAGCCCTGAGTGACAGCCTCAAAGGGGGGAAAACGGCTCAAGACTGTTTAATCTGTATCTTATGTGCACTATATATCACTATATCACAATAATTTTTCATATCATATGATTGTTCCTAGAAGCTTTCAATCGTATTAGTGTGTTTTAATAAGTTAGAATATTCATTTAATATCAACAAAAGACTTAAATTGGATCAAAAAAGGTTATATTGTGTTTATCTCATCAGCCATGACTGAATATGGCCACTGGATGTCAGCAGAGATGTGGTTAAAATAGGAGGCAAGTCAAAGA